ATTATAATAAACTTGGTCCTGGGAATATCATCTGCTTTGTCTACAATGAATTATAGCAGAAATTAGAAATATTCAGTACTGAGTTTTACGTCCAGACAAAATTCACTACTCATATACAACTTTTCCAAGCAAGTAAAGCTGAGTATGTTTTTCATAGGCAATTCTACTTCATCATTTTCTTTTAACCTGTACCTCAGAGTGAGGAAAAAAGGAGCGACTGCAGAATATAAATAATAAAATGACTTTCCTCCTATCAATTTCCTTCACAGCAAAACCAGGGCTTACTTCTCGGGCACAGAGCGCTGAATGTTCCTGCAAGGAGTACAGCTGGTTTACCTAGTAACTAAAAGGGTCTGATACTATCTGGTGAAATGAGCTGCCGCTGGAAGCATCTAAAAGATCAACATATATGTGTGACTTGAGAATTGCCTTGGCGTTTCCAGGCTTCTTCAAAGTTCCGGTGAGCTGTTCCTCAATGGCCAGTGGGTGAAGAGGGGCCTTGTCAAATGGCCTGTTTCTCTGCCAGGTCCCCAGCTCTTCACAGCTTTCTGTGATGGAGCTGAAGTTGACTTCATTGATATTTATGGCCAGATAATGGGAATCAGATGTCCCTTTTGAACCAGGCTGGGAAGAGAGTGGTTATTAAAAACAGAGCTCTCTAACCCACCACTACCTAAGAGGCTCCCCATCTTTGAAACTTAAGGGTCTGAACCAAACCCAAGAATCTCACACTTGATGATGGTATTTTTGTTCAAGTCATGAAAATGCATCAGTTGGCTACAGCCTCAGGCTAACAAAAGAGAATACTATTGGAGTTATAAAGAATATTTTGGGGGAAGGACCCCAAAACTATTGAAAAAGCCACTGCTTGCCAAACAGCGATTCTAATTCTGAGCAACACTCCTCTGCGGTGGGGACCAGCTTCCGCTCTTCCACTGGATTCATGAGACTGTAATTTCACTGCGTGTAAAATCTCCACCACTGGGGGGCTGAATGAGCTTTAGGACAGAACGAAGATCAGAATGACAAACACAAGCCGGGAGTGTGACCCAGTACTGTGGGCCAACCCAATGCACCCCAGGCCCGGACTCTGCAATTAAGTCTTGCTGCTGATGTCTGGGGAGCGCTGTGGGCTGATCTCATTCTCTGGATGAAGAAACTTAGGGGCTTGATGTCTAAAAGGTGTCTTTCCGCTCTGAATGTAGATACCTCTAACTCCCTTCCAAATCATTTAAAGAAAGAAGGTGAAGTCATAATAAAAGCACAGTCAGCAACTGTCCTCAGCCTTGGCGTGGTCCTGGCAGGCACGGACAGAAGGTGTAGGCACAGAGCCCAGACTGAAGTGTTATGTTGTAACCTTGAATTGTGAGCAGAGCTAAAAAATGGGTTTCCTCTGGGCTATGACAGGACTGTGGAAAGTTATTATAATTTAACAGGTTTCAACGGATTCTGTGAGACCCCCAAAGAAGGTCAAGTAGGCGCCTGAGAGCCCAGGCTCCTTCCTGCTTCACTGGTCATCTGGCGAGCTGGCCTAGCCCTCTCCTGGCTTCTGGACAGTCCTGCAGGTCAAGCTGCTCTCTTTCTCAGACACATCAGATGGAGCCAGTATGCTGGGCTCCCCTCCTGTCTTCCTAAATTCCTCTGTGCTATGGTGGAAAGAACACAACTTATGAACTCAGAGACCTCTCTTACTGTCTTCACTCCTCCACTTACTGGCAGGCTAACTCTGGGCAAATTACTTAACCATGATGGGTCTCAGTCTCTCATCTGTAAAATGGGGCCAAGGACAGCTACCTCACAGGGATTCTTAGGGAGAGCACATCTGAGTGTATTTAAATCTCCTGGCCTCTGCACAGCAGGTGCCTGGTCCCTCTCATTTCCTTTCTCACCTCACTATTGGTTTCTTGAGCCGAACCACTCCCTTCCCAAGCACTGTGTCCTCCTGGTGTGCTGGTGCTCTTCTCCTCACCAGTCCCAAGCCTTTCTCATCATCTCCATGTGTGTTCATCTCAAATGACCTCCACCATCCAACGTCAAGGTCACTTTCCCTAGGAAGTGCCCCTTGAGAGCCTTTCTCTCATCTGAGGTTCCCAGACCTACGTGATAGGTTTCTACACCATTTTATAATTATTTATCTATTATTTACCGGTCTTCCCTGCTATCCAGCCTAGCACTCACTATTCCCGGGTGTCTGGCAAATATTTGTTCAATGAACAAATGTGTAAATACAGGACCAAAAGGGGAGCTTCTACTGGGCTCACTTGAATGAACATAATGCTGTAGCCAGTTCTCTAAATGAAAACAATACTCAGGAAACAGCCAGAATGTGAGATGCACTCCGTGGGGTGAGAAAAAGCATCTGCTTCTGCGGGAGCCAGAGAAGTTATGGGGGAAAAGCAGCACGGAGAGGACAAGCGACAGAAGCCTGGGGCCAGGACAGCGGCTCGAAGCCTCAGCCTAGACACAGCGCCAACCTGCAGAGACGGAGACCGTCCTGTGCGTCGAACCAGACTTTTGGGATAAAAGAAATCGGATGAAGAACGATGCGTGTTTGGCAGCTGCCATAAAACATGAAAAAAGGGAAGAAATGAACAAAGAAATAATCCTCAGTTTAGAAACACTATACCAACAAAACAAAACAAAACGAAACCTTTGGGAAAATGAATTTGATAGTGACTGTCAAGGGGCATCGCTTTATAGCTTGTGTGTGTGCGTGTGTGCGTGTGTGTGTGCATGTGTTCAAGGCCCCATGTGTAAACAGCATATTTACTGGTCTTCAAGTTACAGTTTATTTACCTACATTCTAACCCCCCATGATTCCCTTCCATTTATTTCCAGTTAGACAGTTTCATATATGAAGAGTAAGAAGCCAGTGAAGCCATTGAGAGATGTCTTTAAGAATCTATCATTATAAATGGTCTGTGAGCTCTTAAATACCAAGAATGTAGATTACTCAGTAGGGTTGCAGAAAAATTCTTAAAACATTTTCATTTTGCTATGGTAACTGCACTGATGTGGTACCCCATGAAAGGCTTGGAAATCTTGGCTCAAGGTCTGTGATCTGTAGACACACCCTTAAGAGAGGACAACATTCATTCCCTTATTCAAAAAACGATTCCCCTTTAAACCCCACCAATGTCAGCACACGCTCTATTCAGGGCACTGGGACCTCTTCTCTGCTGGAGTGCTCTGTCCTACGCACTCCTTGGCTTCCCAAATGTGAGCAAGTTGAGGGTTGGACTGACCTCCCAAGTGGTTGAATGTTGGCTTTAAAAGTCTTGGAATTTTCTGGAAAACTTGACTAAAGGAAGAAAAACTAACAGCTCTTCTTGGCCAGAAAGAGGAGAAGTATTTCACTCATTGTTTTCACAAGCTTATCCAGAGAGTTCTATCAAGATGCAATCAAGAGTGGTTTTTTCCTTTCTTTTTAAAATATCATTTTAGTCACACTATCTGCGAACTCAAGCGATTCTTACAGAGAAAAGACATACATTCCATGCAGTCTGGTCTCATTAGCATTCTTCTCCTCATCTCCCAAAAGACTTCATCAGAGATGAAGTGAAAATGAATATTCAAAAAAACTAAAAGCAACACAGTAGAGAGAGTACAAACCACTAGTTAGTTGGGTGTTTTCTGGGAAGCATTCCCAAGCTACGCTATGAATTTTACATTCTTATGATAAAAGTGACAATAACTACTATCTTTAATGTTCTGGGATTTTAGAAAGATAACCCACTTCCAAAGCATCCATAGTTCCTCAAAAATCTCAGACTCTGGTGCCCAACACAGGTAACTGTTCCAGTGTGCACCTGCCTGGTGGGTGGACTTGAGGGTTATACACACATGTTCAAGTTGAAGCTGTTATGTGTCCACCATCCTGATACTGGTGGACAAATTCCTTTTCAGTTTGTCTTGTTTTTACTCCATTATTATGAGAATGAGGGTTTTTTTTTTTCTTTTTCATAGAAGTATGATGCCGATGGGGTTACAATGCAGAGCTGCTTACACCTATTAATGGCAGCTTAAGAAGACCTGATACCACACTCTAGAGTTTGGCTTCCAAAGTAACTTCAGGTCTTTCTTTTCCCTGAGATGCCAAGTGGAACACAGTCAAACTATAGTTTTTCCAGGGGTATCAGTAAGTCAGCTAAACCAAGAGCCTGGGATCCTATGGATTGGGATCCAGTGTGATTATTGCTCAGAAAATATTTCACAGTCCAAGGGAAAAACCAAGGGCATCTGATTAGGATACAGATAATGATACTGACTTATAAGCGTGTACAGCTCTTTGCTTCTGAAACATATAAAATAATGTCATCTGGAGGTGTTGTCAGGGCTGAATAAGACCAGGAGAAGGTTTTAGAAGTGAGAGGTGAAGAGGGTCTATCCTTTTGTCGGAGCACTTAGTGTTCAAGGACAGTTACTGAAACATTTTGATGTTACCTAAGAGTTAAGTTACCGGAATGCTTATTCACACTGACACTTTTGGGCACATCATTGTTTTCCCCTACGGTTTTATCTGACAAACAATCAGCTTCTGGAGACAGAGGCTACTCAGTGAATTTGGATTTAAGAGGTCAGTAAAATGTACCATGGATGCAGAGTTTGGGTTGGGGTAGTACATTATGGACTAAGTACAAAAAAGTCTGGTAGGCCACCAGATGTCTGACTTAGAACTTGATGAACAATTTCTTCTCATCTGTATGTTTTGACTGTTCCTTGAATGCTTTCCTATGAACCTGACTAGTGAGGCAAGGCTTACTTTCTCCAATACAAGCATTGGGAACAAAAACCACAATCAGTTTAACATTGGAGGGAAGGGAACCTCCTTCCCTGGCCAAATGGTCTTTCAACTTGATCTGCTCTTAAGAAAAAAAAAAAAAAAGAAGAAGAAGACATGATAAAGTAATTTCCCCCAAACTCCAGCCCTGAGGATTAGTGGCAATGACACAGATGGCCAGCAAATGCACCTGGCACTACAGCTCTCATTGTTTCCTTACCCGCAGCTTTTCCTCAGTCTTGGTAGATTGCTTACAGTCGGGATGCCAAACGGTGGAACCTGGAAAGACACGATGCCCGCAGAGAGTTAAAGGAAATGGAAAGAAGACATAGTCCTATTAGCCAGAACTTCTGAGAACAGTTCATATTCTTCTCTATCAGAGGAGAGTGTGAGAGCCCTGGGTCCAAGTGAATTATGGCAACTCTAACCACCAGGTGAGTTTTCCTCACCCAGTCTGAGCTCGCTCTAGAAAGGTCATAATTCTAGACCACAGAGACCACTAACAGGCACAAGAGTGTTCTGACGCAAGAGAGGTTTGATTCTTGACTGTTGTTGCTGTCATTTTGGACCATATTATTATCCTTTAAAAGTCACATCTGTGTGCCTACTACAAGCTGTATTTAATTTAAACAGAAGCCATAAACAATGTTTACAGAACATCAAAACAACCAAAAATTTAGACGAGGGAAATACAGTCAGACAGTCCATACCCAGAAGCAAAACTCACTGAAATTTTTATTGATCCAATTACACACGGTCATCTACAAAGATATGGAAAATTAAGCCAACTCATAGAAAGGTCAAAAGTTATGTTATAAATGCAGAAGTCTTCTTTAACTTTTAACCCTTTAATTAACAACAATAAGAACAACAAAAGTCTCCACTCTCAAGTGAGTGAAATTACTAAGTGTCATTTTCTGTCCCTGAGTCAATACCTCACCTTCTCTGAGAATGAAGCCCTTCCTTGGAATGATGCCCGCATCCTAGAACTAAGCACAACACTTAAATCCCATACAGGGCTCTTGTAAGAATTCAAGTCCTCCAGTATGACTTCGTATGCCTAGATATGTATGTCATTTATACAGCTGTGGGTCAGACCTGTATGTAAGTCCTATGTTCGTGGAAGGAGACATTCAAATATGGTTATGGGCAGAAGAGCTGTAGGAGCACTGGATAAGACTTGAGCAAGTGAAGTTACTAAGTTGAAAGCAGCGAGTAAATGACATGAATTTACTAAGTCTCAGGAGGAACATCAGACCTGTTAAGTCTTTATCTCTTCAAGCAAACACCTGTGTATACTTGAAAAAATTCACCAAATTAAAAATTCTTAAATTATTTTACACCACTGAGCTAAAATAGATAAAATAATATTCATGACAAGGATAATACCTTTCCTATCAGAACAATACTTTAATCCCTATTTAACAGTCATTCCTATCTTGCTTAACCCAGAGCCAATAAATAAATAAATAAATAAAGGTGGAGGGGGAAAAAAAGAGGGGGGATGAAACAAACAAACCAGACAGACACATAGTCCTTTTAGCATTAGTGTTTACTCTGAGGCTGGCTACAAAGCACAGGAAATTCTCTTAATGTGGGTGGCCCAGGAGCAGCATTCACTCTGAAGGTTCTGTTGAGTTGGAGCCCTTGACCAGATCACTGGGTTTGCTCACAGGGTCACAGTATTCTCCAGAGGTCAGACACACAAGGACTGTGACGTGGGGAGCATGTCAGATGCTGAGGAAGATGAACTACTCTTTCTTCAAGGACACGTCGAAAGGGCAGGCAAAGAGCACTGAAGCTCAACACTAGAAGCCATTTACAACTACCCCCGGAATTCTGAGGACAGCCCATCTTTTTTAGAGATTAGATTTTTTTTTTTTTTTTTTTAATTTGACACAGAGAGAGAGATCACAAGTAGGCGGAGAGGCAGGCAGAGAGAGAGAGAGAGAGGAGGAAGCAGGCTCCCCACTGAGCAGAGAGCCCGATGCGGGGCTCGATCCCAGGACTCTGGGATCACGACCTGAGCCGAAGGCAGAGGCTTTAACCCACTGAGCCACCCAGGCGCCCCGAGGACAGCCCATCTTAACGGACGGTTGTTTATTTGTAGTATGAATATGTTCTCATTGGTGCACAGCTTGAAATCACTCTCTATTTAGGTTCCAGAAGCGTGTGAACGTGCGGGGCTGCACCGAGAGCCTTTGAGTCTCAGTTCCCAGCAGACACGGGGTTGACACACACTCGTGTCTTTGTTTATGAGTGCTAGCATAGACACACTAAATCTAAAACAAAGCCTGGAGACCAAATGGAGAATAAATATCGATTCCATGTTGAAAATGCAAAGTGACACCTGCCTATGGCTATGGAAACTCACAGCCTGCCCTCAGAGACATGTGTCATATAAAGTCCACGTGAGACTATGGGTTTGGGGACCTGTCACTTGCCTTTATTGAGCCCTTTAAAATTCAGTGACTTTTTTTATCAGAATTTTCCAGACTGATCATTAAAAGTGAGTGATATTTGGGTTGTCAATTTCTCATAGAGGTAGCATTTTTCAGAGAGTAGATAAGGCTTTGCTTTAATATTCAAGAATCATTTCCGTTGACTTTTCTTCATTGTATAAAAACAAAATAGAGAGCAAAGGAACCATTCATTAAAAATACACGTAGTGTTAAGTGCAGAGAGACAAAGAAGTGAATGCGAAGGCAGATGAGACCTGGTAATTGCCAAACCGAATGAGCACCAGCTTCCATGGTTCTCGTTAATTTTACTGATAAGCCCTTGTCAATTTAATGACTCTTTCTCCGGCTAAAAATAGTAAAATGTTTGTGCAGATGGTGTTGTTTGACTGGAAGAGAATCCTCCCCCAAGCTTCTAGCTGAGAAACGTCAGCATTTTAGGGGAGATAAAAACTAGTCATGGTTGTACACTGGGAAAATTTCTCAAAATGATTTTCAACTTTAAAAAATCTGGGGGCACCTGGGTGGCTCAGTCGGTTAAGCATCCAACTCCTGATTTTGGCTTGGGTCATGACTTCAGCATTGTGAGTGGAGCCCAGAGTTTGGCAGGGAGCCTGCGTAAGATTCTCTCCCTCTGCCCCTCCCACCCATCATCCCCAAAAATCTGATGGCCCTCCGGTAATGAGTACTTCTTTGCCACTAGAAACTTCTCCACTTCTCTTTCAGGGACTCTGGAAATGTTCTCTCTCACCCTCCTGCTATCTTTTGCTATCTTTCTTTCCGTATGAGAGCTATGTCATCTTAATGGGATGAAATACATCTATGATGCAATTCACCAAATATGAGATTTTCTTCTTCCCGAAAGCTTACGTCAGAGCAGGCTGGAGGCATTGAAAAATCCTTCTCGCGGGGTAGTGAAAGGAGCAAAGACAAAGTACCATCTAGAAACGCTTGTTCTTTCGTCCTGTTTCCCACACCTCCTGGGGAAGGTTGGGAGGAGGTGTTGCTAATTTTCACTCTTGCCTCACTTCCATGGGACCAAACATCAAGTCCTATGCATTCACTCCAGAAGCAACGCATTCCTTTGTTAAACAGACTCAGGGGCTCACGGCCAGCATGTCAACTGCTTGGCTGATTCATACTAACTGATGAGGTAACTTTTGGCCACACTCATTTTGGATCTGGGGAGCCCTGCAGCTAATGAAATGCCTCCTTCTCTAAAAACAAACAAACGAACAAAGCAGGGTTTTCCTTCCCCAGATGGGAAGAATTTACTGAATTCCTGAGACACCTTACCTTGAAGATACATTTCCTCTCCTTCGGTGAACATCTGGTTGCATCTGCTGCATCGTGCACAGCTGGGGTGGTAATGTTTGTCACCTGCCTGCAAGAGAAGAGGGAGGGACTTCTTAGTTTGCACCTTGTCACAGATCCCAGCCTCTTTTCTGGATCTGGGGATTTGGAGGCAAAAAGAGACAGCTGAGGCAGGAAAAATAACTGTGCAATTGACCTAACCTTCCTACACCAACAGCCCTGGAAGCGGAAGCTGACCCCATTAGACCAGCTACTGATGCCTGCATGATGGGTTGCCTTCCTTCTCGGGGTTTCTGGCATCTACCTCTTGGCCTGGTCACTCTTGGATAGTTACTAGTTATACACCATGCGCCTGAGATGAGTCCACTCCACCTCCAAAAAATCCCACCCCCAAAACATTAACCTCCCAATTGATGTGGAGACCCATACTGATTTGTACTGATTTGCAATAAAAAGAAAGGATTCTCATATTTAGCAGGTTCTTACTTTCCTAGCTAAACTGACTAAAAATAATAAAACCTATCTAGCTTACATCAAGATGGGAAAAACCATAGTAAAGGACATCATCCACAGCTTTCACCTTAGGAGAACCCCAAATTCTCTCCTGTGTTGCCTGTAACAGTATTTTGCCAAAGTCTTCTATTAAGTGTTTTCTAAAGAAGACATTTTACTGAGATGGCCCTGAATTATTCATGAGCTTTTCACATTCCTAAATATGACAGATGCCATCACAGCAGGTGCTGACTTCCCCAAAGCAAAATGTCACTGGACACAGGGACAATTCTCGAGACAGGTGCCAAGTCACATTAGAGTCATGGTCCAAATGCATACCTGACAAAATGAAATCTTTTCATTTATAGCTTAGCAAAAAATCTTCACCACCTAAAGATTTTCTAATGTACTCTGCAATGAAATCATTTTATCAACCAAGAGTGAAATATTTCTTTTGCATGAACCACGTGCTATGGCAGTGCCGAGAGTCCAGAGTTAGAAGTAGCTGCCCCCTCTATGTTTGCATGAAATCTCAACAGGAAATCAGAGGTCAGGTAGTGATTCCTTTCTCACACCCTCCAGGAGAAACTACAAAAGCCACTTAGCAACCAGAGTGCGAGATGGTAGTTGGTTACTCAAGGCACTCAAGTGGGAAAAAAATGAAGATATTTGAAAATAGAAGCCAGGAATGAAATCTATTCAATGGTGCCAACTGGAAAATTCTAGAAGTGGTGCTCTTGTTTTGGTTCACACACTATTATTTAATTTTTCTTCCCTAGGGGATGAAGGAAGCCTAGACAATGTCATGTAAAGTAGCTCCTTCCTCTAAGCCATCCAGGGTCAAATGTGAGTAAAAGAGGAAAGAAGTCCCTGTAAGTTCTAAAGCACCGTAGTCCAGCTGGGATGTTAATGCTGAGATTTCCCAGCCAGCTAGGACAATATCGGGATTCTCAAGGAAAATGTAAGTGAAAGAATTAAGGCACCTTTACAAGAAGTTTGTGTAGTCTACAGTGAAAAGCACACTCCCCAGTAAACTGGGAGTAGGAAGACAGATCTTCAAACTGATACAATGTATCTATTATATTTAGTGGCACAACATTAGCTGCATTCTCAACAAAGAGCACCAAGACAATGAATTACACTTTCACCAAGGCTTTTTTAGTTCTCGCCAAAGTGATAAGGCAAGAAGAAATAAACATGCAGGTCGCTAATGAAAGAGTTCAAACAGCTAGACAAAAAATAAACATATAAAACCCCACAGCTTTCTACTGACTAGCAAAACAAATTCCGTCAGTGTCATGGGAAAACAGGACTCCATTTCTAATACCAACAAACAAACCCTCCAACGCAAGATCTACAAAAGAAAACTATAGAATTTAACTGATGGACAAAAAAGGCTAACAGGCATATAATATTTCTGGATGAGGAAACTAAATACTTAAAGATATCAATTTATCTAAAATGAACCTATTAATGCAATGCATTTCCAATCACAATACTCATAGGAGTTTCATCTACAGACCTTGACAACCTGATTCTGTAAGTTCATATGGAAGAAGAAAAATGCACAAAAAACAGCATCGACGAAGGGGGGTTTTTCCCTCCCTGACATAAAAAAGTTATTCTAAGGCTCAAATAATTCAAGTGCTTTAATACTAGTACAGAAATAGAAAATAAGTCGTGAAACACATAACTTAGGAAAGCCAGTCACACAGCTCTACACAAGAAATTTAGTCTATGATAAAGAAGGCATTTCCAGTGAGTTGCAAAATGGATTATTCCACTAATGGTAAGAACAATGGATTCTCCATACAGAGAAAGGTAAAGCTAGATTCCTAATTCATAACCTACAAAAAAAAAAAAAGAATTCTAGAGAGTTACAGAGCTAAATACAGAAACAAAAATGTAGAAATATTAGAAGGATTTATAGGAGATAATTTAGTATACTCAGGCTAGGAGTACTTTCTTAAACAAGGCAAAAATCTAGAAACAATGAAGACAGATAATGACTATGTACATACATAAAAATGTCTAGACTTAGAAAAGTTAAAGGAAGAGTAGTGGGGAAAATAATACTTGCCATGCAGGTCATACAAAAGATTATTATCCAGAATATATAAAGACAATCTCTAATAAAAAGTAAGTGGCAATATGGGCAAAAAGCAATTTCCAGAGGACACATAGAAGACCCAAAAAATAAATAATTAGCTCACCTCCACCAGGAATCGGGGAAACACAATTTAGAAAAAAAATGTATTTCCTCACTAAACTGGCAAAGATAAAGAGAAGACTAATGTGAGGGAAAAGGCATTCTCACACACTACTGGTGAACAAAATTCCTTTTGGAAGGCAGCTTTGGCAATATTTTTTCAAATTTAATGTGCACATAGGAAGCCAGCCTACAGAAACTCTCATACCTTACCAGTATATGTACTTAAGAGTATACGTATTAAGGATCTTCAACATTATTTATAATCGCAAAGAACAAAACAACAGAAAGCAACCTAAATAACCTAAATAAGAAAGTAGTTAAATAAAATATTGAATCATATGTAGCCATTAAAAGAATGAAATAAACTTACACGGAAACAAACCAATACTGCCAAGAGAAAAAAATCATCCAGAAAAACAATGCCTATAATACAGTCGCATGAAGTACCGGCTGAGAGTGTGGAGACACTGGGGTAAGGCTGACTGGATTCAAATCCTGTTTCAGCACTCTGTGGTCTTGGGAAGGTGGCAGGCTCTCTAAACATTCAGCACTCCACTGCTGTAACTACCTCATAGGAAGTGATTAGGGTGAATGATCATATGATATTTTGAAAATGGTGCAGCACATCACTACATACGGTAATAATCCTAGAAACAACAACAATGAACAGTAACACTCTGAACAGAGGTGGTCCCAGGGCCAGTCACAAAAGAGAAAGCTTGTCAGTACAGGTTGGCACGCTGGTAAAACGCCCCCTCGGTGCCCGTTCTTTCCAAGGACAGGTATAGGAGGGTAACTGTGTTACACGAACTGTCATACGAGGTGGATGGAAGATACGCCAAGGTCCCAAGCAGCAGGGCTGTGGTCTAGAAACCGTGAGCAAAAACACTGCTAAGAAACAATACCATCGTAACCCAGGGACATTGGTCTTGACCCATGCACTCGCTCATCTCACAATGCCGAACATGTCAAGTAATGCAGGGAGCCAGAATCAAAGGCCACTTCACAGCCCTTCAAAAGTCTGGTTTTGTAGCAGTGTGAGCCTGGGGGCCCACCCAGTCTCAAGGACAAGGGAGCCTCTGCTTTGCATGTGAAAGTCACTTCCTCTCTTTCGTTTCTTCTTATTCCGGTACCCATTACAGTTCACAGTCAAGCCCTATGCACAGAGCCAGGAAAAGGGATCAGAGCTGATCACAGACGTGGGCTCCTATGCAAACCAACCCCCAACATGGACATAGCTTAATCAAAGTCATTTACACTGGAGTCTGTCTATAGAAGAAGGAAAAGTAACTCAGATCATGAGCAAAATGGAAGACCAGTGCCTACATAAGAACAGACAATAAACATGTAAATCATTGTGGAGAGGAGGTTATTGATTACAAACTTTTAAAGCATACTGTGGGCTTTGTTGTAATAGGTGACTTCATAAAGGACAGTGACTAGGTAGCTGGCCCCAAGCCCACAGCCCACCATCCCACTGTGCCTGAGCCTGTGGGGCCGGCCGAGCTCCACAGTGGCTGTTTTCCACCCATCTTTCTACCCTGCTATGTTAAAAAAGTACAGCCTATTTTGTTCTTTTTCACATATTCAAAATGCACATATTAAAAGTCTACATTCTGGCTGGCATTGAACTCTATGGAAAGTAAACAATTTGCTTATTTAGCTGAGTTTTACAAAGCACCTGCCTACACATTCAAAGTGGAAAAAATGGCTTGCCTTTAATAGTGCTCATTATGTCAGACTTCTGTGGTAATTACTACTATTTGGTTAATCTCTAAATTGGAGCAGGAACTTGAGCATACAGACTAGAATACCATCTGGAGTAACACCACTTACTATAAGGCAGGATTTAGTTTAACCCATCAATTATTTTATTTTATTTTATTTTATTTTATTTGAAAATCCACTGTCTGGCAGAGCAGATAATTCTGAATTCCTTGTGGATGAGGGGGTGCCCTGGGAAAGGACTACCATGTTTGCCATTGCCATTCCTTAATGTGCTACCCATGAGACCGCTATGATGTCACTACCTAACCTCTCAAGCCTCCAGGCCCCTCCTCTGTAAGAAGTGAAGGGCTGGACTAGACAATTTCAAGTCCCATTCAGCTGTAAAATTCTATGATTCTGTGTGAAATCCCATACCTCTACAAGCTCACACAGCAGTGTTAACTGAAAAGCAATTTGGGTAGAGAAGGGAAACTCCTGATGGCAGGGAATGGGGTTTAAGCAATGACTCTATAGTGCCTTATACGGAGGAGGATTTCTGGATGCCCTAAAGTCTGTGCCAACTCTAACAGCCCACCAGAAGTAACAAAAGAAAACTGTAATTACAGGACCCATCCTTCGACAGATAATCTGTTTGCCTG